AGACTCTCACTTCTGGGGTCCGAATCCTAAAGGAGACACACTGGGTGACCTGGTCCCACGCCTCCCTGGGTCCTGCGTAACCCAACTATCTGGATGATCTAGTCAAGGGGATCTAGCTTGGGATGGACACTGCTTCCCACACCCGCCAACAGTGCTCGACAAGACAAAGTTGAGCTGGTGACATAACTGCTTGTATCCATGTCCGCCTCACCAAAATTTCTCAAGTCAGGGATGTTTGGGTAAAAACTCTCCAAGTCAAAAACAAAAAGAAACCTTAATGCTAAGCCAAAAACAAAAACAAACAAAACAAAGACACCTAACAGAGAGTAAACTAGAGAATGGGAGAGGTTTATAGGCACTGTTTAAAATCACCACAGAACTGAAGGAAAGTTGCCTGCAAATCCCCTATCCAAGTGATGGTTTATCTCAGAGAGAAAAACAGTGAAAAAGTAACTGAAGATGGTCCCACACAAACGTGGCACATAAGGCACACACTAAAGTGTCACTTCAAGGTCCCACTTTTCAGCTGTGGAAGATGAGCCTGGATCAGACCAACTGTCCCACAAAAACAACAGCAACTAAAAAAGCTAGACAATTTTTCAATTAAAACAAAACTGAAGGCCTAGGAGCTCTGCAAAGGTGGGCGAGATCTGAGGAACTCAGACCCAGAGAGAAGGGAATTCCATAGACAAGAGTCCTACATTTAGAACCTCATTTTGCCCTTGAGGCTCTTTCCAACTATAGAGCTTCTCTGAAGAGAAGGTAAGCAGAGCTTTTAGAACTCCCACGGGTCTGAAAGGAAAAAAAATAGAGTTCAGGGCCTGCTGAGCAGGAATGGCACGGTAATCACCTCAGGGATTCAGCTGTGTACTGGATTGAATAGTGTCCCCCCACATTCATGTCCACCTGGAACCCCAGAAGGTGACTTTATTTGGAAAAAGGCTCTTTGCAGATGTAGTTAGTTCAGACGAGGTCATACTGGGGTAGGGTGGGCCCTAACTCTACATGACCGGTGTTTTTCTAAGGAGAGGAGAGGACACACAGAGACACAGACACTGAGGAAAGAAGGCTACCTGAAGACAGAAGCCGAGACTGGAGTGACGAAGCTACAAGCCAAGGAATGCCAAGGACCGCTGACGACCAGCAGAAGCCAGGAACGCATCCTCTCTCAGAGCCTCCAAGAAGGAACCAACCCTGCTGACACCTGGATCTTGGACTCCTGGCCTCCAGAACTGTGAGAGAATACATTTCTCTCTGTTGTTTTAAGCCACCCAGGGTGTGGAAAGTTGTTATGGCAGCTCTAGGAAGCTGGAAACCTCAAAGCTAGAGGTTTCCTAGAAATACATCCTAGAAATAAGGCAGAAGCAGAAATACATCAGCTTTCACAAATGGTGAAGCCCAGGCGTGAAGTGGCTCAATCCTTGACTAGATTAAATTCATCTTCCTCCACCCTAATTGCCTGAGAAGCACCAGTAAATCCTCTCTCACCTTCAAATTCTCTCTACAACTCTTCATACACAAAGTCTGGCACTCAGTGGAAAACACTAGGCAGGTGCAAGGACAAGAATGTATTTAAACCAACGTGAAAACAGAAAATAAGGGACTTCTAGCTACAGCCAAGTGAGAAGGTTAACAAATTCTCTCCCTCAAAAGCAACTCTAAAAGTGGACAAAATTGACAAAAACAACTGTTTCAGCACTCTAGAAACTGACTTCAAAGGCTTATAATCTGAGAGGTGTTTACACTTGAAAACTGCTGAATTTCAAGTAAGAACAGTGGGAACAATAACCAGAGTGCAACAACAAATGACAACCGACACTCCATCTCAAGTGTCAGGGGCAAGAGGGGGAGGTGGAGACTGTGGTGAACTAGGGCGCTTTTGCCCCATCTACAGAGGGCAGGAGGATTGGGCTCCCAACAAAGTCAACAGTAAATGTGGGCCCAGAGTCACAGATCCTCAAGTTTAAGAAAAGCTAGAAATCCATATTTCAACAAGAAATCTCATAACTCGGGCCGGCCCCGTGGCTTAGCGGTTAAGTGCGCGCGCTCTGGGTTGGAATACTCAGCTCCGCTATTTACCACCTGTGGGAACCTGGGCAACTTGTCAACTTATTTGAGCTCAGTGTCTTCATCCAAAAAATAAGGACACCATCACCCACCCGGGAAAGTTACTGCCACGTTATCATCGAGCACCCGCTCCAGCAGCTCTGCACCCAGGCCTGGGCTTCGCAGGCACTTGCTCATCGAGCCCCCACAACAACCCTGCGAGGCAGGTCCTGTTATTAACTTTATTTTACACACGAGGAAACGGAAGCACAGAGAAGGGCTGTCCCAGAGAGCTCACGTGTGACAAGTCACTGAGCAGGGATTTCAACCCTGTCGTTGACATCTGAGTCTGATGTTAACTCCTAAGCTACATAAAAGGCCTCGCCCAGCAGCCAGCAGGGACGATGGAGCAGAGAGATGCTCATTTCCACCCAATCCTTCTCTTCAGATTTCCTTTTCTTCTTTCTGCCTGAAAGGGTCATTCCAATGGCTTTAAGAACAGCGAAAAGGGCCGGGCCCGTGGCTTAGCGGTTCAGTGCGCGTGCTCCGCTGCTGGCGGCCCGGGTTCGGATCCTGGGCGTGCACCGACACACCGCTTCTCTGGCCATGCTGAGGCTGCGTCCCATGTACAGCAACTAGAAGGATGTGCAACTATGACATACAACTATCTACTGGGGCTTTGGGGGAAAAATAAATAATAATTAAAATTAAAAAAAGAACAGTGACAAGAAGCCACCGATCTGCTCTTTTCTAACTCTTAACAGCAGAACCTACCCACTCCCTCTCACATGAGGTTTCTAATCCAACTTGCAATAGCAGGGAGGAGCTTTTAATCAGCCGAGGACCATCCTGCACCTGCACCCGTGAATGGTTAATTAACATTGCCAACAGTGATGACAGAAGCCCTTTGCTGCCACTCAAGGGCTAAGCTAGTTTGGTCTTCCCTTTGCTTCTAATTGGCTAGGAGGCTGCCCAGGACATCCTCCTCAACAGAAAACAAAGCCCGAGACTCTGCTTGTTTGTCAGTCTCTTCGGGATGCAGGTGCAGAAATCATGCTAAGATACAGGGAAGTGGGAGAATATGAATGCTGGAGACGTCTTGCAAATGTGTTGGTGCTTCTCTGATTATCAGGGCCAAGTAACAAAAAGACAGAAATTCTAGTCAGGATGGGAACAGAAAGAGCCATTCTTCAAGGCCAAAAGGTCAGAGTCTTAGGGAGGATGAGATGGAGGAAGAGGTTAAAAGTTTAAAGGGTGCTGGCGAGAGGAGGTAACTGGTTAAACATTTATTAGGGGCCATGAACTGAAGCAGGTGCTTCTCATGAGGTTCTCACTGAAGCCTGCTGACAACTCCCCCAGGGAGATGAGACGCTCCACCTTTACAGGTGAAAACAACTAAGCCTCGGGGGAACTTTCCCAGGGTCATACCAGACTTACTCTCACAGTCTGACTCCAAAGCCAGGGTTGCCTCTGCCATGCCCGGCAGCTGCCCTCACCGGGATGGAAGCAGACCCAGAGCCTCATGGTCTACTCCACACCACCTTCTCTAAGGGAGCTCCCCCAGAGTCAGGTAAGATGGAAACAGGAAGAAATACGAGGGCCCAGCAAGCCGAGGGGGACTCTGGGAAAGCAGTGTCCTCAAACAGCTCATCAACCAGCCATAGCCAACGCCATTCCCACGCAGAGGCTCAGGGAAGCATCCTGGCCGTGAGAAGTCACTGAGGCAACCAAGGCTGGCACCCGAGGAGGCCAGGGCAGCTGGTGGTGGTTTCTACGAGGACTCAGGCCCTTGCTGCTGGCTCTTCCCTGGGCCAGCCCCTGTGTCCCTGACTGTTTAAGAAGGGGCTCGAGCACAGAAGGAAAGTCAGCAGCGACAGGAATCCCTCTTGTAGCCACCCTGACCCCAACAGGAACCACATTCATTTCTGAAGATGAGCAACTGGTGAGAAGAGCCAGGAGCAAAGATTCGTGGAAGGGCTGAGGGGAAAAGGAAGGGGATACACCAACATGAGGGAGACGGAGGGGCAAAGGCTTCAGTCGGCAGAGAATCTCCACAGGCACCTCTCCAAACACAGCGAGGGCTGATTTTCAGCTGTGAGAGGAGGGAACTAGCAAAAGATGACACATTTTACTCAGCAGTGACGCTGACACTACCACAGTAACAAGAAAGATCCAGGAATGTGGGGCGGCAGCCACAAGCAGGGTCCGAAAGAACCTGCTCTTTAAAATGCAGGGGAGGAGGAGGACAAAGGATGTTTTCATATGACGTGTACGCTTCAGGGTCCAGAACCAAAGCACATCACTTCCAACAGTGTCCTCATCTGTAGACTGCAGAAAATAAAGGTCCCTTCTACTCACAGGGCTGTTGTGAGAACTAAACAAGTTAATTCACATAAAAGCTGACAAAGTGCCAGGCTTGCACTAAGTACCAGGATATGTTAATAGTTATTAGCACTACCCCTGTCATTCAGAGACACAGGAGCATAGCACACGGGAAATGCTGTGATGACTTTAAAATGGACGATAGCAGAACGATAAGCTCAGAGACCTGTGTGGTTTCTGCTGCTGTTGTTGAAGACAGATTTAATTATGAAATGTCATGCTATCCCCATGCATAAAATTAAAACAGATTATTAATTTCCCAGCAATTGCCACACCACATTGGGAAAACAAGAACCTTGGCTGCAGGCCCCCAAGCCCTTCGGAGACTGCAACACGTGGCTCCGAGAATCCTGCACAAAGGATGACTTCATTCAAATTAGATGCCAGACAACACCATTACTGACTACAATTAAGACATCCTTACACATGGATTTCTGCACCGCCACCACCGGCCCCCACCAACCAGTCCCACACAATGACTGCCTTGCCCGCTATTAAAAAATAAATAAAAGTTAAAAGAGAGAGCCAGAGACAAGACAACGTCCTCTAGGCCGCATCAGGCCGTGCAGTACCTGTTTCAGTTTTGCTGGCGAAGCCTGCTGCCTGTTTGATGGCGGCCGCTGTTAGAGCTAATCCTCGACTCCTCTTCAAGCCATGCTGCAGGACGGCCTCAAACTGGGCACACAGACAGGTTACCCTGTGAGAAAAGCAATGATTCATCAATCCACCCTGTGAGGGAGGGAAACCACCAGAGTAGCCCCAGCACCTCCAGGGAGTGGGTGAGTCACCAGGGGTGAACCTCAGTGTGAAGGTACACACTAGACACCTGGATCTACAGGCAGGTAATTGACATGTAACTGACCTGGGCCGCTCCACACCTCTCCCTATTTATATCCATTTCGCATAACTCAGGGAAGCCTCACACAGTCTAGCCATATTCATCAGACTGGTGAAAGCACAGTAATAATTTGCAGGAAACAAAGGGAAAATGGAATTGGTGCCAGCCAGCAGATAAGGAAAAAAAAGCCAATTTAAAAACAAATCAGTTTGGTGTGGGGAGGGGTTGGGTGTTAATTGTACCCAATTCACAAGTTTCAACTCTAATTCATATTACCCACAGTTTAAGGAACAAGATTATCTTTTTAAGAGATTGAATTCACCAGCCTGCCAAATTGGAAACAATGTGTAATTTCATGGCCTGTTACATACACTAAAATAATAATATGAATTCTGATTCTTGTTCTGTATTTTGTTGTAAGAGATTACATTGTGAAGTCACATCCAGAGTTGATGGAATTTTCAATTAAGTTACAATTACTGTGCATTTAATCGAATTTATTTCTCAATAACCAAAGAAACAGGAGATTCAAGAACATGTTTGCAAAGAGATGAGGTCACAGCAACTACACTCGATTCTTAGCAATCCTCCCAGGGCTCCTGGCCCTCAGCCCAGTTGGGTCTGTGGACTTCCGAGACCCTTCCATTCATTCATGCAACAAATGTTAAGAAATCCTGAACTGCTATGTGCCAGGCACAGTTCTAGGGTCTGCAAATACGAAGAGACAGGCAAGGTCTCTGGCGCACTACATACGTTTGCATGGTTCTAGCAGAGGAAGATACACAAACATAAGCTAACCAGGCTGTTTCACTTAATGAGAACTTTGAAGAAAATAAAACAGGATGAGGTGGTAGGTGGAGACAGGGCAGGGACACGCTTGGATTCTGTGGCCTGAATGGAGGTAACCTTGGAATTACGACTTGGATATGACAAGAGGCAGCAAGCTGGGCAGAAGGGCCCAGTGCAAAGGCCCTGGGGCCACCACCATCTGGCTCAACCCTGCCTAACTGCAGGCATTTCCTGCTCCACCCACCCCCACACTTGCAGTAATAATACTCCACGGGTTCATCGCTCTGTGGGCAGTAAAATATTGTCATACCCATTACTTCATTAGCTCCTCCTATCAACATTATGACATAGGTGAGGCAGGTGTTATCTCCATTTTACACTTGAGGACACTGAGGCTTGAAGACATTTAAGAGATAGTACACAATAAGAACATAGTAAACAGCAACATAAGACAGTACATAATTAGTTGCAACATCTGTGCTCCAGCCCTCCCCACCCCCATGCTGATCCCAAGGTAGTCTCTACTACATCCCACACCACTAAGACAAACACGCTTATTCTAAGACAAAATTCCTCTCCCTCCCATACCCTACCTTTACTCAAGTCATCTGTCTACACCAGAAAACCCTAACACAGCATCAGCAAATACACAGCACTTGTACATTTACTCTCCATTCTGCGCCTGTGACAGACATCACTAATCCATCCCAGCATTCTAGGCTACCACTGCCAATGATCAAAGTTGGCCCTCCAGAGGAAGGAAGCCTATGTGGCATCCCAAACCTAATGCTTGTCCTGAACTAGATTATTTGGTTTCTAACTCCTACCTTGTCTTCCTGGCTTCCCTGCACCTAGCTCAGTGCCTGGTACATAATGTGTGCTCCATAAATGCTTTTTCAGTGGGTAGGCAAGTGAGTGATCAGTTTTGAACCATGGGTCCTTTTAAAATACACCTCCACATTGAACAACCCCCTTTGCTGGGCAGATGTCACTCCTAAATATTACATGTGCATATGCTAGTCTCTCTACATATCAACGCAGGCGCACATTTGGGGGCTTCCTGAAAGCTGAGACACCCACCAAAACTACCTAAATTCCACAGGAACCAAAACAAAGGCATAGCAAAATGGAGCCTGACCAGGGCCCTATCTCAGGGGAAAAAAACAAAACCCCTGGGCTGTGTTTAGAGTTCTCCATAATAAACCACAGCCTGTACCTTTAAATGAGTCACCTGCAATTAACTCAACAATTAACTCAACAATCCCTGTTAGTTTGCATGGCTCTAATGCACAAGTCAGCAACTGCCCCACCCACTCTGGATAACACCTGGCCCCTCAGGGGAATGGAATGTGGGTGAACAGCACAAACCCAGTCCCCAAGGTTTGGGTTACATCAGCAGTATCACCTTCCAGATGCAGACAGGTCACAATCCATCTAACACAGCAGAACACCCAGGCGGGTACTAGCCCTGTAATTAATTCATTAGGCTGCCTGCCTTGCCGAAGGCCATTCTACTTAACACCTGCCCTGTGTTCCCTTTTCACCTCCCCATTCTACCTGAGCCTATACCTATTGGTCATTCAGACTTAGCTCCAGGGTCCGGTCTTGCTAACTTGAGCTCCCTGACAGCAAGGAAAGAGCCCCATTCATCTCTGTTGCCCCAACACCTAGCACGACGCCCGCCCAGCTACTTAGTAAACGTGACCCAAATGGTCCCTCCCTTCAGGGAACTCAGAATATGGATTTGATGTACATTTAGGTGAGAGATACATCTCAGGAGATCTTGTGTAATTTGCAATCCAAATCCAGGTCAGTTAAGACTAGTGAATCAAGGAGAACACACTTGTCCAACCCCATGAATCTACAACCCTTAGCTTGTGATGGGCACACTGTAGGCACTGACTTATAACCATGCCACCCTGAGGCTTTCCATTTCTTCTCATCTTTACTCAGTTATATGATAATTCCTGCAAAATGAAAGGGGTCCCAGCTCTAGTGGAGTTCTTTATTCTCTCAGCTCAGTCTCTCCTATTTCCCAGAAGTCTCTCTGCTAAATGCTCTGGCATCACAGTGGTGGGCTGGCTGCCTCCACTGCATTTTATCACATCTAACTTCTACTATAAGTTAATGAATTAGGCATGTTTTTAATTAAGTGGGGCACTTAACAGAGAATGTTTTAACTTTTATAAAAAGCACCAGTCAGGAAAATCACATCAAGTTTTTATGCATACAGCTGCTTACCAGATGAACGGATAAATAAAATGTGGTATATGGATACAACGGAATACTATTCGGCAATAAGGCTGGGAGTGGAATCAGGGATTAACTGTAAACGGGCACAAGGGAACATTTTGGGGTAATGAAAATGTTCTAAAACTGGATTGTGGCGATGGTTACACAACTCCACAAATTTACTAAAAAAAAAATCACTGCAGGGCCCGCCCCGTGGCTCAGCGGTTAAGTGCGCGCGCTCCGCTGCTGGTGGCACGGGTTCGGATCCCAGGCGCGCACCGACGCACCGCTTCTCCGGCCATGCTGAGGCCGCGTCCCACATACAGCAACTAGAAGGATGTGCAGCTATGACATACGACTATCTACTGGGGCTTTGCGGGAAAAAAATAAATTAAAAAATAAATAAATAAATAAATAAAAATCACTGCATTGTATACTTACAAGGGGTAGATTTTTACGGTATGTAAATTAGAGTTCAATAAAGCTGGTTTGTTTTTGTTTTAAAGATTTATTTATTTATTTATTTATTCCCCCCAAAGCCCCAGTAGATAGTTGCATGTCATAGTTGCACATCCTTCTAGTTGCCGCATGTGGGACGCGGCCTCAGCATGGCCGGAGAAGCAGTGCGTCGGTGCTCGCCCAGGATCCGAACCCGTGCCGCCAGCAGCGGAGCGCGCGCACTTAACCGCTGCCGGCCCCAAAGCTGGTTTTCAAAAAAAAAAAAAAAACAATTGCCCTCAAGGTTCCCAGTAAAAGTTTGATGAAGGAGTGAAGGAGTTAATGAATGGAAAATGAAATAACTTCTTCCCGCTGAATTTAAAACCATCTACCAACACCAGCATATCTGAACACTGCATGAGCTTAACTAGTTTACTGCTAAAATTCTGCAAGCATAGGTTTCCCTGAGCTTTGTCCTATATTTCACGACTGTTTAACCTGCCACATTAATCTATAATAAGATTCCTAAGAATCCTGTACTTTTTTACGGCAAATATTAGAACAACAGACAGGACCAGCAATAAATGCTGCATTTTTACGAACTGCATCAAGTTAATCTTGTGACAGAAGAACATATTTCAAGTTGATCCTTTTATTACGTTACAGCTTTACCGGAACCTTTTGGGGAAAACCAAGCACCATCATGAAAATGGACTAGATTATCCTCACGTGGAAAGCTCCAGTGTCACCTGGAACAGTGTCAATTGTATCCATAAAAATCAGCCAATTAACAGCATTAGCCATAACTCAGATTTAAGACAGTGCAATCATCAACTAGCCTTACTAAAGCAAGGCCAACACATGACAATCATTTGAAATGGGCCATGCCCTACATTTATGTTTTATAAATTAAGTTTTCAAAAAGGTCCACATCCTCTAACCCATGAATTTTATTGGCAGAAATCAATCCTTGGCTGTAATCTACAAGTCACATAAAGATTTAAGAATGAAAATATTCAAAACAACATTATTTACACAAGTCGAAAGTTAGAAAACACCTCAAGATTTAACACTTGAGGAACTGGTTAGACAAATGATAGCACAGCATATAATCGAATGCTATTTAGCCCTTAAAAAATATTTACCAAGAGTGTATAATGATAAGCCAACAGGTTTATAATATAGCGTAAAATGAAAAATAAGCGGGGTATGAAACTGTATTAAGCATGCTCTCAACTATGCTAAAAAACACAAAAAAAAATCTGAAGGGAATTATGTGAAAAAATTAAGAGCCACTTGGTAAAAGAATTACCAGTGATGTCTTTCTTGCCTCTATGCTTTTCGGAACTTAGCTTCTTTCTAAAACAAACATTACAAAAGTATTCATGTCTCAAGAACCA